TACTTTTTGATAAATAATTCGTTCTTATTGCGAAATAGGAGCCCTATTTATCAATCTGTAATAAAAGACGTGAGGAAATTCTGTCTTTTTTAAAGGCAAAAATTTTTGAGGCGAAATACCCTAAAAGAAGTTTGAAAAGACCTTTTTTTACTGGTTTTTGACTCCCAGTTATTCACCTTGGTTGATCCAAACAGCAAGATCAGAAAGAACTTGCCGATATTCCGACAGGTCGAAATTCTTCAGGCTTTGCTCGTTTTGAGTGGGGGTGTTGCTAATCTGGAACTGCCTTTCGCCGCTGTACTGCTTCAAACAGTGCATTAACCTGAGGATATTTAAGGAAAAATAGTCGAAGCCTTAAATTGGCAACTAACACAGACCTTAAAATGTTTACAATCCATAAAGTCGTGCATTCGAAGTCTTCGTTGTGCTTTTTGCGGATCACTTTTTTCACGCTGTTTATAAAGGTCATTATTAGGTTTTTCAGTTTTTCCTCATCGTCTATGTAATCCGTGTGCCGGATGCCCATGAAGATTATATAAGCCGGCAGGCCTGGTAGAAGGGTTAAGGCCAAACGAGGCTTCAGTTCTAAAAGCCACACCTGTTAATGCTGCGGGAAAAAAATGAGTTCCTTCTTGCCTAAGACGAGTCTCTTCATAATCACGCCTTCATCTCCAGATTTGTAGGAAAACATGCCCAAATAGTCGCGATCCTTCTTTCGAATGCTTGGTTGCGCCCTCCCTATCGGGACTGACATGGCATGCTTCCTTTCTTCCTCCAGCAGTGCTTCCTCCACATCTATGTGAGTGTCTTTGAGTTTCTTCGTTAGCAGCTTCACCTAAGCAATACGTAGTTTAGTTGCCATAAACGTGGCAAAGCCAAGCGCAAAGCGAAAATTACCTGCCGCTGCAGTTTCTTCAGGTTCTGAGTCAAAGACTCATTTTTATCAAACTCATTGACGTAATCATTGGTGAGCCTCACAATTTCCTGCTTCATAAACGACTCGTTCTGAGACTGTGGCGGCCCGCTCAGATTCTCCGCCAGAATTCGTTGCTGCCGTTCGTTGTCCTCTCTGAGTTTCTCGATTTCGAACCTGTACTCTTTCTCATGCGCCTTATATTTGGTCTTTTCGTCCTGCAGCTCCAGTTCCAGCTGCTTGTTGATGCTCTTTTGCGTTTCGTATGCCAGCGCCAATTCTCCATCTTCGTTAATGTACGCCCCTGTAATTGTAATATCAATTCGCGGATTATTAATGGCTGGCAAAACTCAACCTAACATGTCGAGTTTTCACTATTTTTCAAGATCAGCAGGTGGCTAACCGATGCGACTAGATGATATGTTAATGTTAACTAGCGTTTGCATTAGACTAACTAACGAGCGAATATTTCTAGCAAGTGTTGTGCTCTTGGGGCTGAAGGACCATAAAGTTGCGTCTCAAAGTTTCCTTTAATGACTACTTTCAAGTGTAGAATCATAAAATTTTGGAACAGACTGTCCATTGATCCGCTAAACCAAGGGCGTATCCAGGGGAGGGGTCATGGGGGTCGTGCTCCCCCCATTCAATTCTCTATCCAACGATG